GCAGCACCCTGCACTTGTCCTTGTTGAACCGCATCCTGTTCAGATCCGCCCACTTCTCCAACCTGTCCAGGTCTGCCTGGATGTGGTCCCTGCCTGCCAGTGTATTCACTTTACCCCCCAGCTTGGTGTCAGCAGCAAACTTGAACAGGGTGCTCTCCACACCCTCATCCAGGTCGCTAATGAAGATGTTGAACAACACCGGCCCAAGGACCGAGCCCTGGGGGACTCCACTGCCCACACCCTCCCAGGTCGACATCGACCCGTCCACCACCACCCTCTGGGTGTGTCCCTGGAGCCAGTTTGCCACCCATGTGACCATGCATTCGTCAATGCCGCAGCCCCTCAGCTTGCCCACCAGAATTGGGTGGGACACTGTGTTGAAGGCCTTCTGGAAGTCCAAGAAGATGACAGCGACTTCCTCCTTCACATCTAACCTCTGTTACCTGTACATAGAAAGAGACCAGGTTAGTCGGGCAGGATCGGCCTTGCACAATCCTGCCTGACATCCATCCATCCATGTTAGGGAAGCATCTGAAGAATGTGAGGGCTCTTTGCAACAACAGGTTACAGAAATATCTGTGTTAAGTGCTGTAAAAGCAACAGAGTAAGAAAGTCCTACCCGGCCTTCAATAGATTACAATCTAAAAAAGGAAACATGAGATTATGCTGGGATGAGAGGTTTAGCTGCGTGGATAGAAAAGCAGCAGGGGCATGCGAAGCAGGCTCTATTCAGATTCGGCCCAAATTGGGGACAGTAGTTTGATTCGTTGATTCAAATCGCTATCCCCGATTCAATTAGGCCAAATCCAAATCTGAGGATTCAATGTGGATTTGGAGAATCAGCGATTTGGCCATAGGCAAAGCTTTAAATGTTTTTTTCTATGTACTTCGAGGTACCGAGCGCGGCTTGTGAATGCTTCTATGTTGGGGTGGATGGAGAATCCCATAGGGATGCGGGCGGGCCTTCCATGTGCTTGGCGGCAAACCCGGAAGTGGTCCGGAAGTGCTTTTGTTCCTCTTCCAGGTCTGCTGCCGAGCGCGCTGGGGAGCCCCCCGCACTTCTGTGGGACGTTCCATGCGCCCCAGCATCGCAGTGTTCACAAGCCCCTGCTACCTAGAGGTATGTAGAAAAACATTTAAAGCCATGTCTATGTCCAAATCACGAAATCTCTCCGAATCGATTCAGAAAGTTCCGATTCAATTTGGAGAGATTAAAGGGTCCTCTGACTCTATTCGGCCACTGAATCGGGCTGAATCTCTGCCAAACTGAACTGCGGACTGAAGTTTCGCACAGCCCTAAAAAGCGATGAGACATTAGGCAAAAAGAAACTGCAAGATTTAGAGGGAAGGTGGATGTGAGGACCAACGGAGAGGTCAGGGTTGAAGATGATGCCCAGGTTATGGGCTCCAAAAAAAAGGCAGGGAATACGGTGGTGTTCACAGTCAGAAAGAAGGCAGTAGGATAGGGTTGAAGAAAGAAGTTGAGGTGATGATCAGACATCCTTGAGATTTTTATTTTGGACTTGGACTCGTATTCAGGAAATAGGTCAGAATGAACCCCCGTAGAACTGGGGAGGGGAGGGAGAGGAGAATCAGGAAAGGACAGTCTGAAAAGCCAAAGAAGACGAGACTTCAAAGAGAAGAGCACAGCTGATGCTACCAAAGACGGCGAACAGCTGAAGGAGGATGACGCACTGTTTCTGAGACCCGTCCAAGGGCAGGTCATCAGATGTTGGCAAATGCAGTTTCAGGAGCATGGACAGTCAGAAAAGGAATCCCAGACGACTGTGAACAGCGCATTCAAAAAGCCTCGGGCTGGAGGGCCAACAGAGTCCGTCCGTGGGGCAAATGGGGTCCGCAGAGTTATTTAAAGACGAGAAAGACTCAAACATAGGTGTGTGGCAGAGCGCCAGAAAACAGGAAGAGGTGATGGAGAAGACAAAAGACCAGCACGTGGGCGGGCACGGGGAGATCAGGGACTCACTGCAACAAGGGGAGCAGAGATGGTAGATTGAGGGACCTCGGTGTCTGGCGGCATGGAGGAGGCAGACGGTTGTGTATTTCGTCGGTATGGCGGAAGAAGTTGGGGAGACTGACCTTGCTACGAAGACGGAGCAGGGTGGAGAGTGGGAACAGGATTTGAGCTGAAAGGGCTTGAGGTTGATTAACAAACACTCAACCAGAAAACAAACTGAAAGGTCGCTTGTCACGGAGTCTGCTTGAAACACTCTGCAGGGAGAGAGCGTGGGGCTATCAACATGGACCCTGCCATGAAAAAAAAGACAGTCGAGGAGGAAGGGGGAGCACATCATAGGGGTTGCCAAGGTGGACCCTGCAATGGAGAAGAGACAGGCGAGGAAAACGACAGTGACCTATACCACGAATTGAAAGGCAAGAGGACAGAGTTGCTTTTCATTACCTAAAACTAGGGATGTGCCTTTAAAAACGCTTCCAGGCTTTTGAATGTTAAATACTCGGCTGACACATCTACCCAATCACGAAACCAGTGCTGTCAAGGGGGCGGGGCCGGGCAAGGGCTCAGGGCGCCGCCGCCATCTTGTTTTGCCGGTCTCCATAGCGACCAGGCGGGAGGGCCAGTGGCGCCGCCATCTTGCTTGGCCGCTCTCCATAGCAACCAGAGCGGGAGTAGCTGCGCCGGCGCTGCCATTTTGCCTGACCGGCCTCCACGGTGACATCTCGCCGGGCCGGTTTCCCCGGTAACCGAAACAGCAGCGGCGCCATTTTGTTTGTCCCGTCTCCACGGCGACCGGAGCAGCGCGGCGCCGCCATCTTCTTGCTCCGGTTTCCCCAATAACAGCTGCGTGGGCCGCCAGCACGGCGATGGCGGGTGCGGGAGCGGAGCCGCTGGAACTGACGGGCGAGGAGGTGGAGCGGCTACGGGCCGCGTTCCGCGACGAGCGGTTCCGCGCGCTGCTGGCCGAGTACGCGGCGGAGCTGTCGGATCCGGCAGCGCGGCAGCGCTACGAGGAGGAGGTGACGGCGCTGGAGCGCGAGCGCGGCGTGGACGTGCGCTTTGTGCACCCGGAGCCGGGCTACGTGCTGCGCACCAGCCAGGAGGGCGCCGGCCGCTGCTACCTCAACGTGTGCGGCAGCCCGCTGCTGGGCCGTCCG